CATTGCATATTATGAAGCAACCCGTACAGTGTGGTGCAAACAGATCACTCGCTAGCATTTTCAGAAAAGACTGCAACAACAATCTAACATCTTTTTGTCAAACCAGACACTCTCATGTACTGTCTGTATTTTCCCTATTTTTACTGGCTACAAACCCTGCGGCAATTTGCTGCAGAGATTCTCGTTCTTGTTGACTTCCTCCTTCCAGTCTATAAGATGACACCTCTTTTACCCAATACGTCATAAATCACAACCTGAGACAGCTTAATTACAGTAAACAGATTCTGGGTTCTTACTCCTAGAGGCACATGTAAGAGTTGAGGCTTTTATGTCGTCTGTCAGCTGGGCAGCTGAGGAAACCCATCTGACCGCAGGTAAGCTGCCAGAAAACGATACATTGCTGTGGGATCACATAAGCACCTTTCAATGATTAGATAAGAGGGCTAATGTGGACCAAAATATCATTTTTAAAATGCAATATATAAATCTCTAATGGTACAAGTCTCAATGCATAAACAACAGATCTTGACACTGTTGTCTGACAATGCATCACTGCATCTCCGTGAGTACCGTTACAAACGGTGAGCCTGTCATGTAAGAAGTGAACAGGAATGTTCTGTTTAAATTTCGTTTGTTAGAAGCGGGCTTTGGATTTGTCAATGTTACAACGGAAAGCCCTGTTCTTACTTACACTATAACAGCTCCTTCATTGAAAAAGGGTTGCCTTCCAAAATTACATTCTTATTCAGATGTTTTGCACACACCCACACACACACGCACACAGATCCTTGGAAACTTCGTTTTCTCCAAAAAAAATCTTGTAGTGGAAGAAGCATTTTCATTTGAAAGAGGAATTGCCGTAGAGCAGAGATGGAGTTTTACGTCGGTCTTTGGGGGCATTTTCTAATTGAGAGGTTTTTCACAATTAGCGCAATGAGCTATGCACAGAACAAGTGAGTGGACACCGACGAAATTCTTTCAGCAAAACTGAGAAGAAACGTCTCGGTCAACAACTGTACAAACTGGTTTTCGTGTGGTATGAAGAAAATGGCAAAACCCAACGAGTGTTTTTGTGAGGATCTATGGCTTAAGCCAATGGGTGGTTAAATCTGCATTCCGAGCTCGCGTCTATGTGAGTGCGTGGCAGGGGGAGGCTCACCCTGATAACAGGTGGATTAGGCTTGACTCATTGTCCCCCTTGTAGAAGGGCCGTGTGTCGCTGTTATTCATGGCCAGAGTAGCTTGTTTTCACAGTCTAAAGACATAGGGTGGGTGGGTGTTCGGGTTCAACTTTCCACTGGCAATTCCGGCTCCCTCTCACATAAACACAACAGCAGGGGACAGCGATGTTGGTGTCACTGTGCAGTGGCTGTGAGCGGCCAAACTAAACTGCAGCATGTTTAGATGAGTACAATGGCCACTTTCCCGGGTTTAACCAAGCGGCAGCATTTCCATTTGCTGAGCATCGCTGACCAATGACCCTGTTGTGGTGCCAGCTCCAGTCACCCACACGCCCAAATACAAACAGCTCTGGCGGGGAGCTATACAAAGGTGAATAAAAAGGCAGCTGGATGTCACTCAGATCTATATCAAGACCCCTGAGCAATAACCCCAGACCCCAGTGGATTAAAACAAAGCAACTTTACAGCTATAATTGTAAGCAGAGGCCGAGAAATTACTTTATTGATCTCCATCATTCCGCAGCTCAATAATAATTTACTCATATAATAAATCTGTATTTCATAAGGTCTGTCTGGTTCTCTCATTCAAGATGTCCTAATAAGAACATGTCAGAAAGGGGCAGAAGGCAGTAAAGGACGGTCGAAGCTTCTGCTGCCTCGAACAGATAAGACAGCTCTGGGTAATCTGAGTCTAAGTCTGTGGATAAAGGCAGTTTGTCTCTTCTTGGGCTGTCTGTCCACACCTACTGTGTAATTAGGCCTAATTATGAGAAAAAGGCCTGCTTCCCCTTCATGTTATTAAATAAGAGCCTACCTCATCTGCCAAGAATCTCTCAACGCCAGTAAGGGGCTGGCGACCTTCAGATCAAACATTGCCACTATCTGTGCGCCTGCCCCACCCTTCTCCTCACCACATGAGGAGGTCGCGTTATGATGCCAGGCCAGGCACTCAAGTTTTAGGGTTTTGGAGGTAGAAGTGATGCGGGGGGTCCTGTCCACATTCCTTTTTTTTTTTTTTTTGATTCGGGCGCTGGTACCCCAGTTTACATCCGTCA